AAAAGTGATATTTTCCCGACCAAATATCTTAGTCGCCAATTGTTACATTCCACAACCAAAAAATTTAGTCGCCAATTATCACATTCAACGACCAAAAAGTTTGGTCGCCAATTGCGACATTCTACGACCAAAAATTTTGGTCACCGATTGTCACATTCCACGACCAAAATAATTAGTCGCCAATTGTCACATTCCACAACTAAATTGTTTGGTCACCAATTGTCACATTCCATGACCAAACATGTTTGTTGCCAAAAGAAATGTTTGCGCATCTAAAACTTTAGTCGGCAATAGACCTATTCGCGACCAAATCCTTTGGTTGCCAAAATTAATAATTTTAACGACTAATTATTTAGTCACCAAATGTGCTTAGTGATACACCGACTACTTTATTTAGTCGGCAAAAGTATAACTTATCTTTCCCGACTAATCAATTGGTCGCCAAAACTAAAAAAAACAAAACCAAATTTGATCGCCAACATCCAACAAAATAAACCTATAATTTATAATAATTCATCCAATTTATTTAATATAATCTGTAATTTGCAAAAATCATTCAACCCAAAAAATAAATTGAATCATGAACATTCAACAAAATACATATATCAACCATTTCTGAACCTATTTAATTAAAGTCAGCAACTATTATAAGTTTTCATCCACAAGTAATTCCAAACTACATATTCCTCCAATTACAAATCCGCTTGTGATCTATATAATCATCCAATTCACATCCATCTAGCATAAAAATTTAAAACATAACAAGTACTTGTTATTATGTTTTAAATTTTTATCCATGTGCATCAATCAAAAAACATAACTAGTAGTCTACCAAATATTTTCCATACACACCCATCCAAAAATATAACTACTAGTGTATCCAAAAATATAACTACTAGTCTACCCTAATATTTTCTATATACATCTATACAAAAATATACAATCCTACCAATAATACAAAAAGTGCCAATTTGTCCAATACAATTTAGCTTTGTGCACGAGTTCATCCATCTGTACCAAAGAAAAAGAGAAATAATGTCAGGTAAAATTGGACAAATAATGAAAAATGTCCATGAAAAGTTAAGGTCACATTAGCAAATTAAATGACTATCATTATCAAATTGTAAATAAAACAACAACATTCTTATGTCTATAGCATTATCACTTTGGTATTTCATTGTTTAGTTTTTTGAACGGACTTAAATGTAATTCAAAGAAAAACAAGTCAAAAATAATTAAATAAAACAACAGTTCACAATAATATGCAATGGACTTCTCAACTAGCAAATATAAACTATACATATTGGCATACGAGAGTGTCTAACCATCACTACAGGAAAAAGGGGATTTAGTGGCGTTTTTTTAACGACGCTTTTGTAAACGTCACTATTTTTATTATTTAACAGCGTTTTATAAAACGCCGCGTATTCTATTAAACAAAACGACACCATTTTATACTGGGAGGCGTTTAAAAATGCCTCCGAATGCGGTAGCCACACGCGCCTCTTTTTTCTTTTTTTTTTGAACAAGAACACGCGCCTCTCAACCCTTATTTTGAATCAGAGCCTTTCTCTCTCTCTCTCTCTCTCTCTCTCTCTCTCTCAACCCTTATTTTGAATCAGAGCCTTTCTTAATACATACGCACAGATCTCTCTCTCTCTCAACCCTCTCTAAGCTCCATCAAAGGTTCAGATCGAAGCTCCATCGAAACGATTTCGAAGCTCCATCGAAGATTCAGATCGAAACTCCATCGACGCGATTTCGAAGCTCCATCGCCTGCGATTTCGAAGATTCAGATCTGAACTCTGACCCCTCGATTACTCGCATTTCAACCTCCATTGAATAGTCTACTTTGTTTCTGAACTGTAATCAGTACTCTCTCTCTCTCTCTCTCTCTCTCTCTCTCTCTCTCTCTCTCTCTCGCTCTATTTGTGGTCTTTGGGAAAAATGAAGAATTACAGTATTGGCATCAGGCACTAGTTATTTCATTACTTTTTTTAGTCAATTCTATTTTGATGATATAATACTACCAAATATATGAATAGCAATGTTAAATAATGGAGAATGAGATATTAGTTCTATTTTTCTATTAGTCAATTCAATTTTGATGATATTACTCTCTGTTGGCAAATTTCCAGCTCACATTCTTTTGCATATGTTTAATGCTATATATCATATATATGAATCCCTTTTGTTTGTGATTGGAATCATCTGTCAAACATTGATCGCATCATCTGACTTCAATGATATGAGATTCAAAGCTTTCTAATTAATATTTAAGATTGTCTAGCTCTCTGATTAATATTTTTCACTTACTCAAACAGAGCATAAGTATTCAGTTTGGTAACTTCTTTGAATCTGCATTGAAATAAGTGGATGAAACATGCATACCATTTTGTTTGAGCTTCCTCTTCAACAGATAAAAAAGAAAGAAAATTGAAATAAGCAGAGTCGGGGAAATGATAACTGTTATGATCACCCACAATTTTCTTCTGTTCCCTGAATTCGTAAGAATATAATTATGATGAGTCTATCTGTGTGTTTTTAAGATCTAAATAAGGAAGGAAAAAAAAAAGAAAAAAAAAAGAGTACCCTATTACATATACTCATTACCTCTAGCAGATGAAAGCTCAAAAGCAATAAGCTTCAGATGGAAACCTTGATTAGCAGTGTTCCCATCTGAGATTTGTAAGTTCAACAAAGCTCCTTCCAATATAGAACACCTGCCAGCATTATACGCGTAGGCTGTGCAGGAACAATTCTGCTGGCAACCTGATTCACACCATTGAGAGCACGGACCAATATATTCTTTTGAGCTTGCTAGAAATTTCACATCTGAAATTTTTACGAACACATCATTTTTCCTACTAACATTGCTTTCCAACTGGAAATGGATTTTCCTTATGCAACCACCTGACCAGTCATCTAGTAGCGTTGCTTCGGTTGAAAGCGGTTTAAAACCCTGCAAACACGTGTAATGGGTCGAGGAATTCTCATTGAAGATACCAAACGCCCCACAATAAGCATAAACCTCGAATAGTTTACTCGGTTGAGTCAGTAATATTTGCCAATCCCGAACACCGTCTAGCCATGCCAGCTGGCTAACTTGTCCTGATTGTTCCATCACAAATCTTGATAGCATAGCACTGTTCTTAAGAGAGTAAGTAAAATAGCTCACATGAGTGTACCCGGCAGACTTTAAAAGTTAGGAACAGATAAATTAATCAGAGAGCTAGACAATCTTCTCACATGAGTCTTATATTTTTGTGATTCTAGTTATTAATGTGGATAACTATGATTGTGATTGTGATTGTGATTGTGATTCCTCATTTGGTGGCTGCTCTTTGGTGTTTTTTGAATCATCATCATCAGAAGTATTCGAGCTTTGGTACCCTAATTGGTTTGGGTAGTTGGTTTGAACTTCCCACATCCATGAGTTCCTGCCAAAATTATTCTATTATTGATGGATTTGAGAGAGCAATATATTTCTTGAATCTATCATAATCTATCAAGAGCATTGTAGAAACTTTTGGTTTCTTCATTAATATGCTTCATACTAGATATGCTTCTAGTATGCTTGATAGTACTAATTTAGATTACACCACCGGGATGCAATCATTAATGGTGCATACCTTAGACCTGTCCAAGAATCTTCATTAGAGATACCTAGTCATCTTTGATGAAGCTCTTCTTGGATTGTCCAGTTTGGACAGTTCAGGGGCACAAGTCTGTATTGTAATTAGTAGTTTTACTGCTTATAGTCCATCTCGTAGAGATTTCGTGTAGCAACTCCTTGTGTTCTCCGAGTGCATACTAGACAAGGTGTAGCAGTACACCTAGTCTATGTCGTGTATTTGGAGAACAATGGGGAGATGCTGCCGAAATTTCGTTAGAGATGAACAGAGCGGTATGAACTGCTTTTTACAATATAGACCGTGCATTCCTGAATGGGAAAGTAGGATGAACCAACATATTAGAGACCAGTTAAAGGTGAATGATGTCATGTCGCATGCATTATAAGGTACTTAATTGAGGTTAAGATTAATTAAAATGGAACGGTAATTTTGAACTTTGTTGATTTGGCAGTGACATTTGTAGTGTAAGACAGAGTCAGATGGATAAAAGTTGGATAAATCAGCATAGGTTGCACCCGGATTACATAGAAGGGGTTAAGGAATTTATTAAATTTGCATGCGAAAATAAGCCGTTGTTGAATGAAGTCACATGCCCATGTAAACGGTGTCGTAATGTCAAATTGGTGGAGAAAGGCCTGTTAGGGGAACATTTAATGATCAATGGGTTTCTTCCAAGTTACACCAGTTGGATTTTTCATGGGGAGAATTTGTTGTCGCCTGTGCCACACAATGTGAATGTCGAGCAAACTGATTCGAATGATGGTGATGAAACTTATGAAATGCTATACAAAAGATTTGGACTTCCTCCACCAAGCTTTATTCACAAGGCAGCAAGTTCTGGTATTAAACAAGGTCCAGATGAGAAAACCAAAAAAAAATTCAATTCATTGAAAGAGGCCGAAAGAGAGTTGTATCCTGAGTGTCAAAAGTTTTCAACGCTCTCATTTATTGTTCGATTATTGCACATCAAGTGCCTTAGTGGATGGAGTGACAAGTCTTTCACGATGTTGCTTGAGCTTTTGAAGGATTCGTTCCCAAAGGGTGAAACTTTGCCAAAGTCATTTTATGCAACTAGGAAACTCCTTAGGGACTTGGGCCTCGATTATCATAAGGTAAATACATGCCCAAGGGATTGTTCACTATATTGGAAGGAAACAGCTAGTATGGATGATTGTATAGTGTGTCATATGCCTAGATACAAACAGTTTGAGGGGGATAAAAATGATGTTAAGAAGAAGTAACAAAGAATTCCACAGAAGATTGTTAGATACTTTCCATTGATTCCAAGGCTTCAAAGATTGTTTGTCATCCAAAACATCTTCTTTAATGAGATGGCATGCAGAGGGCCGAATTGATGACGGCAAAATGAGACATCCCGCTGACTCTCCAGTTTGGAAATATTTTGATAATTTGTATCCCAAGTTTGCGAGTGAGCCTCGCAATGTCAGATTGGGTTTAGCAGCGGATGGATTCAATCCATTCAAGGCAATGAATGTCTCTCATAGCAGTTGGCCAGTTACTATGATGCCATACAATTTGCCACCATGGTTATGCATGAAGCAGCCTCATATGATGATGACATTGCTCATCGATGGTCCTTCTTCACCTGGAAATAACATTGGCGTCTACTTACGCCTTGTAGTGGATGAATTGAAAGAATTGTGGGAAAACGGTGTTGACACGTATGATGTAGAAACTAATCAGATGTTCCGAATGCATGCTGTGTTATTATGGACTATAAATGATTTTCCTGCCTATGCAATTTTGTTTGGATGGAGCACGAAAGGCGCTTTAGCTTGTCCTTGTTGTAACACACACTCGTTCTCGATATTTGAAGAATGGAAGGAAATTATGTTACATGGGTCATCGTCGCTAGTTGAATGGGGGTCACAAATTTCGGAAAGCTAGTGTGTCTTTTGATGGCACTCGTGAATTCGAACCATGTCCAACTCGGTTATCAGGGGCTAATGTGCTACAACAACTAGGCCCTAAGTTCAAATTGAATTCTAAACGTCAACAATCTAGCAAATGGAATAGAAAGGGGAAAGAAAATGAGGACTCGGGTCATAATTGGAAGAAAAAGAGTATTTTCTTTGAGCTGTCATATTGGGAGCATAATTTGATTAGCCACAACCTTGATGTGACGCACATTGAAAAGAACATGTGTGATAATGTATTGTGGACGATATTAAATGTTGATGGGAAAGGGAAGGACAATTTAAATACTCGTCGAGATTTGCAAGATATGGGAATTCGGAAGGCACTACATCCTCAGAAAAGGGTTGGGAACGAGTATTATTTGCCTCCTGCATGTTTTGCCATGAACAATAGAGAGAAAAGTCTATTCTGCACACTTCTAAAGAATATCAAAGTTCCAGATGGTTACGCATCTAATATCTCTCGTTGGGTTAACCTCAAACAACGTAGCATATCTGGACTGAAAAGTCATGATAACCATATACTTATGCAACAAATACTTCCAATAGCAGTGAGAAATTTGTTACCGAAGAAAGTGGTTGAACCATTAATTGAGTTAAGCAATTTCTTCAAGCAATTGTGTTTCAAAACCCTAGAGGTGGATGGTCTAAATCGTCTTCAGTCCCAAATCGCTCTTACACTTTGCCATCTTGAGAGAATTTTTCCTCCATCATTTTTCGATATAATGGAGCACTTACCCATTCACCTAGCAGAGGAAGCGAAGATTGCCGGTCCAGTGCAATATCGATGGATGTACTTTATAGAAAGGTGTGTAATCTACTCCAATGTCCATTTTGTATATATTTGATTGTTTATACTTGGAAGTCATGTATGTATCTTTTGTTTATAGGTACCTTATGACGCTTAAATCATACATGCGTAATCGAAGTCATCCTGAAGGTTCAATTGCACAGGGATACTTGGTCGAAGAATGTATGACATTTTGCTCAAGGTACTTGCATGATGTTGAGTCGAAATTGCATCGACCGTTAAGGAATTGCGATGTTAGTGACAATCCTGAGATATTAATGGGGCGGGCTTTAGGAAAAGGAAAAGGTTTTGTTCTTGATAACACAACATGGGTACAGGCTCATCGGTATATGTTATTTAACATTACTGTGGTTGTCCCATATGGAGAGTAAGATAGATGCAACCTTTGTCTCATTGTGAATGTATTTATACCAACTATAATTATCTTGCATTTTACAAGTAGTTTAATTGTGCAGGGAACATCGTGAATTTATTAAGCGGTCACATCGTCGTCTCAGAGATTATGATGTGGATCGTCGTCACAATGATGAGTTTCCCAAATGGTTCAATTCTCATGTAAGTGCATGTCAAGCACAACAAGTCTTTCTATATTTTTGAAGTTGTTAATTGATGTTTAATATTGATTACTTTTTTTAAAAAAATAGGTTGCAAAGCTGTTAACTACTGAAAATGTAGCGTTGTCGGATGAAATTAAAATTTTGGCTTTGAGGCCCATCCAAAAGGCCACCAGATTTAATGGGTATATAATTAATGGTACTAGGTATCATACGGAGTCGTGAGTTGAGAAGAAAAACTCAGAATAGTGGGGTTATGGTGAAGGCAAAGACTTCTAGCTATGCAAGTGCGAAAGACATTAATCCAGTAGAAGGTGATGTAGCGTACTATGGATATGTGACAGATATTATTGAATTGTATTACTCACATGACCATAGATACATGTTATTCATGTGCAATTGGATTGATAACAATAAGGGACTCAAGCGGGATGATTTTGGTTTTACACTTGTTAATTTCAATCACTTGTTATATGCGAAGAAACAGGACAGTGATGAGCCATTCATCCTAGCATCTCAAGCACAACAAGTCTTTTATGTTAATGATTGTGTTGATGAAGATTGGAATGTTGTACTCCAGATGAAACCTAGAGACTTGTATGAGGTGTGTGGAGAACAACCAACTATTGATGAAGGACTACATCACAACGAAGTGGAAGGATTTGGTGATCAAGAGTTAGATGTAGCTTTCTTCACTTGTGAGGAGGACATGGATTGGGTTAGGCAAGGTATTAATGGAACAACTGTTGATGAAACTATTGGACCTCTTGAAGCATCGACAGAGGCACCATTTGAAGATGACGAAGAAATGATATGATATTGTAATTGGTTGCATATTCACTTTTACATTTGTGTTTTCTATACGGATATTCATGTTAATAAAATCTTTGCTTTTATACCTTTGTAGTTTTCTTTAAATGGCCATTTTTACCTTTCATGTACTCTTATTCTGTTTTGAATGCAGTTTCTTTATAGATTATCCTGTCCTTACTTTTATGTTTGTAGTTTCTTTATAGATTATCTATGAGTTCTAGCTCCGAGAGTTCTTCTAGTGAGAGTGAGCAATCAAGCTCTAATAGTTCTAGTTCAGATGAGACTCATGCCACACTTAAGATGAGAGTCATACCCGATCCACCGGCATCATGGCATCCACCAGGCAGTCTTCCTACCACATCACATAGCGGTAGTACATCACATGGCTCAGTTTCAGCTGGTATGTATAACTATATTCAGATTTTACTGAACTATTTTATTTTTTTTATTTTATCATATTGATTAGGATTTATTCCTCTATGAATAGTATGATTCTTCCCTTTAATTGATTGCTCATCAGTGGTTCAGTTGTGATGTTGTGAAATCTCATGCAGTTTGTGCATATATCTGCTGTATGGATATATTTAATTGTGCTTGTTTTTACCATGTTTGAAGGCATGGGAAGTTTTTAGAAGACTGTGAAGAGAGAGAAAGGAAGGCATCTTAGAAATTGTCTTTCTTGAAAGACAGGAAAGTATAATTGACAATGAAAAAAACTCCACTCTACTTTCTGTGTTCTCTTATTCATGTTTACTTGACATCCCTGTCTATGCTTTTTATCCCTCCAAATGCCCTCCAAACACCTGCTTACCTGTATCCAACTTCACTCACCCACGTGCATGCACGTGCAGCCAAAAGGCCACCAGATTTTTTCTAATTACATAAATTAGCCAATTTGAAATGCTTGCTATATATATTTAAATCTAAATTGTGGGGCTATAGTAGTGAAAGTTCCTTGTGTTAATCCAATATTTTTAAAATATGTTAAAGTCAATTTACTTGATTAACTTTGTTATATAAAGTAATTTAGGGCGACTAAAATGTGGTTGGAGAATAGGAATGTTTGACGCTGAAAATTCATGATAGTGAGATTTCAATTTAGAAGATGCTCTGTAATCTCATGCAGCATCTTATTTTTCACTTAATCACGGAAGTCTGTTTTCATGAATTTTGCTTATTGATGGTGTTTCCTGTTCACTGGCGTAGATTCTGATACTTCATTAACCTTTCACCTTTATTTAATTATTTTGTTTGGACATATATAATTAGTCTGTTTTCAGATGAGAACTTTCTCGTTAAGATATTTGTGAGCATTTAACACCTTGTCTTTGAGCATAGATGCACTTGAAAAGCTTCCTGTTTTGTGATGACATTGAATGTTAGGCTTTTAAAAGTGCCGGCTCCCAATAATTTAGACTGTTTGGACAGATGGTAGACTAGAAATAGTCCTAAACTTGGTCAATTCTGTGATGACATTTTCTTGCTGTTTTGTGATGTCATTTTCTTACTGTTGCAGTAGTATATATATATTTATATTAAATCAATTCTTTGGCCCCGTTTTTGTTTTTTTATAGGTCCTAGCTCAAGTCAAGCCACACAAAAGCAGACAAGGGGTCCCACATATGTACATGGTCAATGGGGTACTTCAGATGATGGCGTTTTAAAACTTGTTTCTAATGAGTTGAATCAAGTAGTTGAAGGATACACACCCCTTGCTTCACATTTGGGCGTTTTGGCACGAGATGGGAGTCTTGCACCACTCACTTTTACGACTTGGCATTATGTCCCACAGCAAAATAAAGATAACATATGGAGGGAGATAAAGATAATCCAGATATTTAATATGAAATAAGTTGAAATGCATATTACAATTGGATTCCATATGAAATGCATATTACAAGTGTAGTTGACATTGCATATTACAAGTGTGTATAATTGTAATGCAGGCTCATACGAATGCAGATGATTCCATGAAGAGAACAATAATGACTTCATTTGGGAAGAAATGGAGAGATTGGAAAAGTCGCGTGAAAAATATGGGATACAAACCCTTCAAGAATGATGCAGAAAGGTTGGCTCATCGACCGGATAGAGTACATGAGGATCAGTGGTGAGCCTTGGTCTACTATTGGGGCACTCAGAGTGCATCGGTACAGTTTTATTTATGTGAAAAAATGTTTATATATGATAATTTTTGATAATATCTCAAATGAATTTCATATTTAACAGAAATCAAGCAAGAAGAATAGAAAATTTCGGAAGAAGAAGACACTGCATCATAGAACAGGTCGAAAGCCTTTCTCAATAGTTCGAGTGGAGGTATAATTAGACATCACATCTTGGACATATTTTGAAATTTGTTAAGTTTTTAAGTTAAACAACTTATAACTTAGCTAGCTCAACTTATAACTAAACTAAATCAAGTTTAATATGTATAAGATTGAAGATTAAAATTTATTATCTTTAAAATTCATCTTCTCATCTTTGTCTTACATGTTTTGTTTTATCTATCTTTTATTTATAGGAGACAAAAAAAAAAAAAAACAATGGGGTTCCTGCTAGTCGGCCACAGGTGTGGATGGCCGCATACATGAAAGGTGGTACTTCCAATAGTGATTCAGTTAATGAAGTTATGGTATGTGATACTACTTTATTAGACTTTTAATATGATTTATATTGGATGCTAATTATTGAATTCAAAATTGCAGACTCAAATGAATGAGCTAACGGAGCACATGGAGGGATCTTCTTCGGACCCTGCTGCATTAAATGAACAGATTTTCACACAAGTTATGGGGCCGGAGCGACCTGGTCGTGTTCGGACATTTGGATTGGGACCATCCCCCATCGATGTTTTTGGAGGTAGATATAGGCAGTCACAAGAGCAGAATCATATCTTCCAAACTCGAGTTCAAGAACAAGTTGAAGAGAAACTTCAACGGTATCAAATGCAGTTACAGTCGAAGATGAATGACGTAATGGAGAAACAAATTCAAGCTATACGCGCAGATTTTCAGTTACGAATTGAGATTTTGGAATCTCAAGTGCAAGCTACGGGCGTGCCCGTTGCACCAACTGTTGCACCTTTGAACCCATTACATAGGCAGCAGGTATTTTCATTATTTTTACTAGTTATTACTTTAAATTGCCCAGAGCTACTATACAACTTAAGCCTCTTATTGAATGATAGGTTGTTGATTCACTTAGTAGTCATCCCACTGTACGGCTAATGTCACATCAACAACAATCTCATGCATTTTCATCCCAAGAGGTGAGCAATCATTTAATCAAAGTTTTTTTTGACAATACAATATCTTATTAATTAAAATACTTGTTCTGATTAAATATAGGTTCACCTTTCAAAGAAAGAGAAGAAGAAGAAGAAGAACTAACAAGGTAAAAGTACTAACATCACTAGTTTAAGCTGATAATAATATTCATAAATCAATAGTGTTAAAGACATGTTAGGCAAATGCTTTTTTGAGTTGAGAATGATGTTATTCATAATTCATATACATTGTTTTTAAGTATCAAGTGGCTTTCACAAGTATGGTTTATTCTTCTTCTCCTACATTGTGTTTGGAAAGTGTCTAAGAAAAAGAAACAGTGTTGTGAGAATGTCCAACACACATTAGCAAACATGGTACTTATTGCATCTTAGTTTATCTATGTAGTCCTCAATTTGCTAGATAATTATATACTAAATTCTCCTAGGTGGAAAACATACTCAATGCTATAAAGAACTAGATAAATTATGTGGGTACAATTAGTTGAGAAATTAGTAGTAGTTTTAGATTTATGCAAACTATAGGGCAGTACCATAGTATCTGAATGGCTGCTTTAAGATGGCAACTTCTTTGAAAAACTTGTGTGTAAGAAGAATGCTCATATGGGAAGGTTATGTGGGTACAATTAGTTGAACCCAGGTGCTTCAATCTAAAAGCTTGAGACGATTTCTTGATCCCCAACCACATAGTCCCCCAACAACGCCTCTCTTTCTCAGATCTCCAACTCTTCCGCACTAACACTCGCCTTCCAACTCTATTGCCTTCCAACTCCATTCTCATCACCAACAACTCCCGTTCCAACTTCACCAACATAAAGTAATCCTGTTACTAGCCAAACATAAAGTTTGGTGGTATTGAGGGAAAATTTATTGTTGTAATTATAGCCTCTACAATGTTGAAGAAAGTGTTTCTTTCTTGGAGGCTTGACTCTGTTGGTGATAGTTCTAAAACACCTTGGGTTTCAAAGTTTTGAGGCTTTGAAATTAAGATTGATTCTTCTTAAGTGTATGCTCTAGTCCTCATGCATCACTCAGGCAAATATCAACAATGTAGATCTTTTTTGCCACTAAGAATTAGGATATTGATTATTGTTATAATTTTCCACAATAGATATCATGTGCACAA